AAGTTAATGGTTTGTGTGCTCATTTTTGTGTGTATTGTGCAACAAGTAAGCTGCTGCTGACTCTGGGAAGATCCAGAACTAATTTTGGGGGGGTTAAATAGTTGAATTCATATTATGATATGAATTCTCCTGAAAAATGAGAGCTCAGTTTATTTTCTGCTGTGGAATAGCAGCAAAAAGAACTCCCAGTGCTCTGTTTTGTTTTGTTTTTTTTTTGTTTTGTTTTGTTTGTTTGTTTGTTTGTTTGTTTGTTTTTTGTGCTTGGTTTTGTTTTGGTTTGGTTTTTGTTGGGTTTTTTTGGTTTTTTTTTTTTTAGTTTCAGATATCTGGGTATTCTAATGGGTGTTACCTGTTTTTGTTAAGTTATAGAGCTTCCTTTTTCAGGGTGGGATTGTTTCATCTAGCAGATTTGTAAAAGCTCTGAGATATTTCAGACCCAGACTATATGGGAGACTGTTACCATTTGTACTCTTTTATCTGCCAGATTGGGAAATGGTTGTTTACCAATAAAGCTGAACACCCACAATCTACAAAATTTCCTTTGCAGTAAATTGACTCGTTTTAGAAAATTCTTTCACAATAGAAAACCAGAATCATTTCAGTTGATGTGGGTCGTGAAGATTTATAGATTTTAAACTTCTTAGTTCTTCTGAAATCACAGATACAAAAAACCTATGGATACAAAATTAATTTCACAAAATTAATTATATGCCATCTGTACTGCAGCAGCCAGATGGATACAGTCATGTAGTTCTGAAACCAGAGACAGAAAGGTAATAGTTCTCACTCTGTCTGGTCCTTTCTGGTTTTTCATACCTTTTATCTTATCTAAAGAACTTTTCATCAGTTTTCATTTTCAAATAATAATAATAACAATAAACTGACATTATGAGTGTATGTAACAAATGGACTTGTTTCCCCAGAAAATGCCTAATAACGCATTCATTCCATTTTGCACTTCATATACTTACACACCATGTACCTGAGCCACTGTTTTCTTTTTAGTCAGAACACTTGTATGATTTGTTTTAGGCCATTGTGCTGGTTTTGGAGTCAACTGGAGAAAAGACCTTTCAAATGATACTGGATTTGTTGAAGACTCTCTGGAAGTCGTCTGTCATTACTGTGGACCAAATGAAAAGAGTGAGTATGGCACGTAGAGAATTCTGTGTTAGGTCTTCCAAAATTTCTGTAGTTTCTACCTTCATTCTACCTTCATTTAAGTACTACTTGCAGTCTATTGCTGACTGCTAGGTTGTTTGTTTTTTTTTTTGCATTCTCCATGGCCATTCTGTATCCCATACAAATAATTTGTTGCTTATGGGAATGGCCTCAAGTTGTGCCAGGGAAGCTTTAGATTGGGTATTAGGAAAATATTCCTCACCAAAAGGTTTGTCAAACATTGGAACAGGTTGCCAGGGGATCTCTGGAGGGATTTAAGACGTGCAGAGGGGGCACTTGGTGGACTTGGCAGTGCTGGGTTAATGGTTGGACCCAATGATTTTAGAGGTCTTCTCCAACCTAAATGATTCTGTGATGTATGTACTTTATGCAGTTAAATGGTTAAAATGAATAATTTAAAACTCTGTAATATTGCTTCACTTTTAAATTTATCTTTTATTTGGTAGTTCTTCCTAATTAAAGTAGTACAATAAAGGCCCATTAATTACAGTGTCAGTTAGAACGGTGTATAGAAACTAGTTTTACACAGCTGGAGTCAGCCATGGCTTTGCTTCTTGGTATGAGTATGGGACAGCAGTTCTGTCCCAGGGCACAGAACTGGGTACCACACCAGGACTTAGGGCAGAATTTACCCAGCTGTGATGAAGTCACCTCTGGTTGTAACCATTGTTTCTCTTGCTCCATAAACTTGTGGTGGTGATTTGTGGCCACATTTTGTTCATTTACATGGAAGACATACCAAATTTTCTTCCCATGTTACTACCCATGTCGTAGCAGCCAGGCTAACATACAGATTTTGTACTGTCTGGATTTCTGACTTCTAAAGAAGTTAAAAACTCAGCTGGTGTTTTTATGAAGGTAGGTAGTTGCACAATACCCTGGTATTGGCTGGTATTATACCTTGTTTTTTCACTGACTGGCAGCTGCTCTGCTTCAGGTTTGTTGAAACTGTCCATGGTATGTGTGAAACCATATTGAAAAATAAATCCTCTGAGTGCAGAAGCGTATTTAAAAATTGTAATAAAATTGTAGAATAACCAGATCATTATTTGAATCCTTGTACTGCAGGGCTATGAACGAGTTTACTGTGAAATCCCAGACATTAACCTGGATGTGCCACACTCCTATTCCGTGCTTGAGCGGTTTGTAGAGGAATGCTTTCAGGCTGGAATTATCTCCAAACCACTGAGAGACCTCTGCCCTTCAAGGTACTTGTTTCATTGTAGATGGTGAAGGCACTGCTTTCTTCCTTTTGTGGGTAACAGAAAGCAGGATCTTGTGACCACAGTATTACAGATTGGAAGTGGAAACTATGGAGGATGGACAGAGAGTTGAATTGGTAAAAAGTTTATTAAGAAGCTGCACTGATGTGAGACCTATTATGTGGAGGCTGGGATAAATAGTTGAGGGGAGTCAGCCTCTGGTGAGTCCCAGGCAGCACCTCAGTGCTCCCCAGAGGATGAGGGCTGCCTCTCCTCTGGATTGCTGACTTGCTTGATAGAAATGAGTGCAGCACCGAGATGGAAGATTCAGGTGTCACAATGATCCATGTAGGTGACAGTGGAAAACTGTCAGCTACAGTGGGGCAATCCCCCCCAAAAAAAATCCTTTAAAAATGGTTTAAACTTACCAAACAGCATGAATAGAGTTCTAAGATGAGACAACCAGTTCTAATCTTTATGTCAGGACACTAATGTGAGGTAAGTTCTATACACCCAATCCCTCATATCTATCTGTCATGTGGTTTGTATAGTGCTTTTGGTTTGTTGTTGTTTACTTACTTATGGCATAATTAATTCTGTTTGAACTGTTTAATCAGTCTGCTGTTTTCTCCTTAATGGTCACAATACAATTAACCAGTATCATTTCCTGTGGGGAATACATGTAAATACATGTAAATTTTTAAATGTGATGTCAGAACTATTATTCATAGTTTTATGCATTGGGAATACTATTTATTCGACAGATCTTTTCCAGTTTAGGTGTTTTGTTAGAGTTCTTAAACCATCTTGACAGCTTGTGATAAATTTGGATCTTGAAATGTTAGTGTCTTTATCAAGAACAGCCTCCATTTGTGAACTTTACACTTAAAACTGTGTTTGTGTGTGTCTTGGTATCAAATGCTTTGCAAGTTTGGGATGTGGGAGGGTTGAGAGTCATCACTGCATCAAAAGCTTGATTATATTTCAGTTACCATTAGTATGCTGAGAGGCATTTTTGGCTTTTGTGCTTCAGTTTTGGGTAGAAAACTGCCATTCCTAGGTTTTACTGTGATCACTGCTAACCCTGCTGAACTTGCACACCTTATATTTGACTCCCAAGAAGGTTCCTCTTAGGGATAAAAACCAAGCAATGCTACGCTCAGTTACTGAAGATATTTTCTACTTTCTTACAGGGGCAGAAAGCGTTTCGTGAGCGAAGGAGATGGAGGTCGTCTTAAGCTGGAAAGCTACTGAATGTGAGAACTGACTCCTGAAGCCTTACAAGTTTAAAGGGAACATAGCTAGCTATCTATATATACAAACACGCATGCTTCTTCCGTGTGTGTATGTATATATGTATACACATATATAATATACCAAATCTGAGAGTTGCTTAGCACAGTTCGTATTTTTTTAAAAGCACATGTTTTGGGTACAAATTGTTTTTTTTTGTTTTGTTTTGGGTTTTTTTGGTTTGGTTTTTTTTTTTTTTTTAAATAGTTTTGTAAATTTCAGAAAGAAGTGTTCTTTCTTTGGGCATAAATAGTAGAACAACTGGCCACTGCTGTGGTGGTGCCTTCAAATAAGCTATCTCTGTACGTGCCATGTTTATGACCTAATCATTCCCCATGTGCATCCATGTCCGACTGCTGCGCGCTCTTTCCAGGACAGTGCTGTCATCATAAAAATCACTGTTTATACTAAGCTTTATAGAAGGGTCAAGTTGAGCTGCTGTGATCCCATTTCCATTGCTGCTGAAGAAATACTGTGCTTTGGGAGGAAAAAAAAATAGAAGTTTCTTTGTTTTAAAGAGCCCAAGAAAATAAAGAGTTGGATCATAAAGATAAATTCATCTTTTTCAGGGGAGAACACTGGTTGGTTTCACCCCCCGTGTACCGAACTTGTCTTTTTTTTCTATGTAACTGGAAAAGTGAAAAGTTCTGGTAAAACATATTAAAAATATTTTTTGTGAAGCTCTTGTTTGTGCCTCCTTTTTATTTCTTTTAAACAGAACAAATTTAACTGTGTTCAAATCTCTGAAGTGTGTGCAATTCGGCAGTACATCTAACACCGCCCTTTGGTATTGCAGTCAGCGTGAGAGCACTGAGTAATTAAACTCATGGTAAGTATTTACCAGATCTGTTTTTGAAAACGCAAGTGCCTGGCGTAGGAGCGTCCAGGCTGGCACAGATACTGTGAACGTGTCTGTACAGCAAAGCTCTGCCAAGCCCTTGCTCAACAAGAAGATGAATCTAAGGAATACTCGTGTACAGGAACACAGTGGAGCCTCTCCTGTGTTTTTCAGTTTCATGTCAAGATTTGAGGTGTTCAGAAGTGCTGGGAAGTAGCCCTTCCAGGCCCGGGAACACGACGTGCTCCAGCAGACAAGCGATGCCCTGCTTAAGCGGGTCTGGTAAACCCCGCTTAGAGCAGTGGGGTTGTGTAACTTGGCTCCTCCCGCGGTCTGCCAGGGCTCTCCCAGAACAGCTCCTGCCGAGGGCGGTTCTGGTACCTCTAAAGCCGCGTTTAAAACCTCGCCTTTGAAGCGACCAGCGGAACTTCTACACGAAAAGCACCCGACACGCGGCCTCCCCCGCCCAGCGCAGCACCACCTCCTGCGTTCCAGGCCAGACTTTAATCCGCAAGCCCCGTTACAAAGCGCTACCTCGATCGCGGGAGCGGCCCCGCCAGGCTCGGCCCCGCCAGGCTCGGCGCCCCCCGCCCGGGGCTATGGCTGGGCCGGCGCGGCCCCCGCGGACGGCGGCGGGGCCCCCTCGGGCGGCTGCGCGGCCTCCAGCGCCGCCCGCTGCAGCTTCTCCAGCTTCTCCAGCGACACCGACTTGAGCGGCAGGATCTTGGGCTTGCACAGCACCATGGTGGCCGCGTCCTCCACCGACAACTGTCCTGAGGGGGGAGAAGGGCGGTGCGTGAGCGCCGGGCCGGGCGGGCCGGGCTGAGCCGCGCCCGCGGGCCGTACCTTGCTTGGGCAGCACCTCCCGCAGCGCTCCCGTCCCCTCCGGCATGGCGGCTCCGCACGGGACCGCCGGCGGGAGAACTACAGCTCCCAGCGCACCCCGCGCGGCGCCCCGCCCGCCCTTTGCTTGTCGTGCCCTCCCGGTGCATGCTGGGAGTGGTAGGCCTAGCGGGAGCGCTGGCTGCCAACGTGCGCGCTGGGAATTGTAGTCCGTGGCGTGGCGCTGCGCCGGGGCAGCGCCGGGCGGGACGGGAGTGGCTCCGCCGGGGCTGTCCCGGGGCCGGGATGCCGCTCCCTGCCTCAGCTGCGCCGGGCTCTGCACTGGGGCGGTGCCGTCCCACCTGCGCGGGCCTGCCCGGCTCCGGCGAGCCGCTGCCTGCCCGCCCGCCGGGGCCGCCACACCTCCCCCCGCTCGCCTCAAACCTGGGCTTTGGGGCGCTTTTATGTTTTTTGTTTTTTTTTTTTTTTTTTTTTTTTTGTTTGTTTGTTTGTTTTGTTTTGTTGTTTTTTTGTTTTTTGTTTTGTTTTACAGAAAAGCCTCAGCAGACACCGTCCAGCAGATAGGCGTGGCCAGGGCGTACGCGTCCCGGTGTTCATTTCCAGGCAGCGCCTCGGGATTCGCGACGTGAATCAAGGTCCTGTTTGACATGTAAACAGCAGTAAAAGCCGGTGTCTTTCTAAACACCGAGAGATTAAATGTCGCCGAACCTGATGGGCCAGCGTACCGGGATCCCCCCCGCCCCCCAAGAGGATAGGTTCGCCTTTTGGAAGATCCTTGCCGCTGGGAGCAGCTTCCCTGGGAAACCCCCCTGGGGAGCCGCGGTTTGACCCGGTGTCGGCGGACAGGGATTTGCCTATCCGGGGCCTCTGCGATGTCCCAGCAAGCCCTGATTCCGGGACGTGGTGTAATTTTAGAGTTTGCTAATGAGCTTGCCTGTGTGCCCGGCACACAGTGTGTGCCTTGAGGATTGGCAGTGCAGGCTGGTAATCCTGCTAACCTGGCCCTGGCAGGTGATGACAACTCCTTTAATTGTTCTAGGATTGAGAGCTGGCTTCTTGCTATGCACAGAGCCTGGCGTGGATGAGTAAAATGAGGGAGAAAATTATTTTTGCTAATAATTCTTTTCCATTCTACCTTGATGGTGGCTGTCGGCATGCTCCCCTCTGCAAGCTTAGGCACCGTGCTGGACCTGTCAGCTGTGGGATCCAAGGCTTAGGTTTGCTGGGACATAAAACTGTGATAAAACATTTATGTTCCAGTAAGCGACACCTCTCTGATAGTTATTTAAAGTCTCTGTCTGCATTGTTCAGAACTATTTCCTTTTTCCTCTAAGCAACCTAGAGTAGGAAGCTGACGGTCCCTCAGGTAACCCGCTTTCACCTCGCTGGAAGCCTCGCCTGATGTTGGATTGGAGGCCAGCAGAACCCACAGAGGGTGAGAGTGGGTCTCCTCCTTCCTGCCTTTTGTGGAGCTGGCCAAAGATAACACTTCTGGGTTGGTCCCGGGTAGCGCAGAAATGGGCCCTTTTTGTTGTTACTCACATACTCCACTCTCAGGTCAGAAAGCTGGCATGGATGACGCTGTAAAATGGACGTGCTCGCTTGGGACATCCTTCTCTACTCTTTGAAGTGCTCAGAAGCATTCTGACTGATTTCAATGGGAAAAGATTCTTTGTCTGATGTGTTAGTCCATGTGCCAATTAGTATTTTGTACTGACTGGAAGGGAAAGGACTAGGGATGGATTTATGATGGATGTTTGTAGAGCAGGGCATTTTAAACAGTAAGTGAAATTTGCAGATCAGTAATTCGGTAGTTGTTTGTTTTTAAAAAACAATTCAGCATCTTAGATATGGCTATGGCTGAAAGCGAACATAAAAGACAGTGAGTTATGACTGAAAATTCCACACTGTGGAACCAAGAATTATTCCCATGGTAAAAAATACGGCCTGTGGAGCAACAGAAATAAACTGAAAGCAAGGTGTTATAAATCAAATTGGAGGCCAGGTTTTTTGCCAGGGTCCTTCACAGTGCCAGAGACTGCCTGGAGTCCAGCATTATGTGAGGACGGGCGTTTGGAGCCTGTGTCAGTCATGTAGGGAATCACTTTTCAAATGCAGTTTTCCTGCCAACGGGGTTTGTTTGCTTGGTGATAAGAAACAATGGTCAGCTCGATTTGTTACATGAGCATTTTAGTGACTGAGAAGTGGAGTCTGGCATCCTATACTAAATCCATTTTCTTAGTTACTCAAATGCCAGCTTGGCAGCTTATTTAAAAAGCTGATAGTACTGGGACAGATGTGACTGTGGAGGTTGTTTCCAACAGTCTCTTGTAAGTCTACTTTTAAGACACCTCTCTCAGTTGGGAAAAAACCCCACAGTTACCACCTTCAGGACTGGGAGGTCTGGATGAGAGAGAGAGGCATAGGCATTGTCTGCAGCTTAATATCCTACTTTTCAAAGTGCCTTAAAAACAGTACTGAGTTTAGTTTTGAGTAAGGCTGATTTATTCACCAGAGTGGTATTAGCTATACTTAAGAGGGAAAAGCATGTCATGGAGGACATAATTCCCCTTGTTTTGTTGGAAAAGAAGCAAGAAGAGAAGTTGTGACTTTTCTAATTACAGATGAGGGATCAAATCTTTCCCTATGCTGAAGAAAGCATAGTTATACCCCATTTTTTTGCCATTTTTGGTCTCTGGGATCAACATGTGCTTGAACATACACTCATTTCTCTCATGGACCTTTCCAGTTTCCAGAAATAGCTAGAAAGTTATTTGCCAAAACCTTTCAATCTGGGAAAAAGCACCGTGCACTTGCAGTGGGTCTGTGCTGAGTCAGTGCATTATCTCGGTGTCACCCCACGTGGCTGGAGAAATCAGAACTAGACTACAACCATCATGATGCCCAGGTCTCAAGTTGTGTCCCTGTGGCATGCAGCTTCCCAAGTCCTGAGACTTGATCTTCAGATAAAACCCAGTGTTAGAGAAAACGTGAGTGTGGTATCCATGGAGAGGACAACACGCTCTCGGTTGCACATCCTTGTTTTACTGATGTCACAAACAAGTTATTCTTGTACACTGCAGAGAGCCTCACAACCACAAAACCAGCAATAATTTTATAAATGATAAGCTTGTTTTCCTCCTCCTCTTCCCAGATACTCCGAGTGCAGCAGACAGCAGAGATGTGCATTGCTGGAATCCAGAGTGTTTCGTAATTTGGCAGCCACTTGCTGAAAGCCCTGCAGATACAAAACAACACTTATTTCAAGTCTTGAGAAACATCTACTAAGTAGAAGAAAAAAGCATTTAGGTGAAGCAATGTTGCCAATCCCATTTGTTTATGAGGCTTGGTTTTTGTCTCTGTACATTTTAAATGCTTTTTATTTTCCTTCTGCTTTTTGAGCCTTTCAAGTTCACGTTTTCCATGTTTTCCATATAACAAGAAAGTCTGGAATCAAGTCCTTACTTTAAAAAACAAAAATTTGGTTCAGAGTCCTGTATAATCATGTAGCTCCAGACAAAGGGTGTTTAAAAATAAAGCCGCTTTGATGAGAACTACCCATCTTGAAGGTGACTTTCTCTCCTGAGTTTAAGTACATACTTTGTTGACAGTTTAAGAAGCTTTTAACAGCACCTGATCTGTGTTTGCTTTCCACTCAGATCTCTCTCTCTTTTCTTCTTTTCTAAAAATCTAGAGCGTGTTTCACCTCTATATGTGCTGACAAGATCAGAAGTGCAGGGTGCCAGCATGACTGTGACTGTGTTGAACAATGCACACCAATGCTTTCAGAAATACAGGTGCAGATTTCATGCAATTGTCTCCTTAAGCTGCTGAGTGGTACCATGGGACACAGAGCCCAACTTCAGAGACCGGAGGAGGAAGGTGGTTTGGGTTTACTGGGTGGGGTAGGGCGGGGAACAGAAAGCCTGGTGTGACTCCCTGAGGGAATCCCAAAGAATCCCAAATGCCTTCAGAGCCTGAAGCTTGATAGCTTGTGTTTAACCCAGTCCTTGTTTTTGAAAGGGAGTTGACAGACGAGTGATTTCTTTTAGTTGAGCTTTCAGAATATACTTATTTTAAATTTGTTGTTTGGTGCAGTGGGATCCTCAAGCTGTATGCAAAAGACAAGAAGGAGATGACCCTATTCAGTGTGATGATTTTTCTTTCACTGCTACATACGTAAAAGTGTCTGGAAATCTATTATCCAAGGGACACAAAAGCAGCTTTTTGACAGGCTGCTCTTCCTGCTAAAACCTGGTAAATGCAGAGACCTGACTGTGTGTAAGTCCCATCCTGGGCTCCCAGGCCAAATGCTCTATCCTGGCATTTCTAGGAGGTTACTGCTCTACTTGTGTGGTTTGAATCGCTTAAGTCTTTGGCCCTGTGCCTTGGAGTGCCAGCAGAGGCATGCTGTAATTGCCCGTAAATGCACCGTCTGTCATATTATTGTTTAATTATTCCAGCTTCTTACCGCCACACACTGCTCAGTGTCTCTCTTGCTATCTTTATTTAATTGAGTGGAAAAAATTTGAGACTTGTGCTTCACTTACATCACTTTGTTTTTACTCAGCTTCGCTGGATCCTATGATGAAGTCCTACCTTTTGTATGCAGAAGTCAGTCTTCTGTATAGAAAAACTATTGTCAATATCTAAAGCATATGTTAGAAAGAGAATCAATATTTTAACACATGGTGAAGTCAAACCATAAATTTCCTGACACAGACAAATGATTGTATTATTCTGCCTTGAAACACTACTCCTCCCCCCGAGAAACAAGAGAGGGAAAGAAAACTCTTGAATAACTAAGCCCTTGTCCTCACAATGCAGGACTGTTCTTAGCCTGTTGCTCTGTGTTGCTTCTTTCTTTTCTGTCTACTAACTCTCTCTTTTTTTGTGTGTGTCAAATGCCTTCCTTTTCAAGACCTGTCTTTCCCTAGCCCATCCCTGTTCATCTGTTCCAGACTATTACCGGGATGTCGGCTCTTTCCTGAGATCAGCTTGTGATGACCAGTTCCACTGCCAACTTGCTACCATTTCAAATATGTCTGTGCTTCCTCACAGCCTTGCAACCAGCCCCTTATTAATGTGTGTTGAAAAAATAATCTTTCAGAGCTCTCTCCAACACTCTCAATGTCCGTATGGCCTATAAAAAAACTTGGCAGCACACTGACTGCTTTTCTTTCCTCATGCTCCCTGTGTCTGTGACAAATGTATGTCATTTTCCTGGTCTTCCACCTCTGAATCGAAACACTTCTTGCACAGCCCCTGCACACAGATCAAGGCTCTTCTGCAATACAACAATAATAATAAGTATTAGGGTTGCTGGCACTCACGCTGCTCTACTTTTCATGGCTCTGGGCAGAAAGAGTTTCATGATGTCCTTTTGGAAGATCTATTTGCACCTGAATGATCTGGTTTTCAGGTTTGGTTTTTTTTTTTAGAAATCCTCAGCTGAAACTTTCCTCTACAGGTGTACTCCCTATAATGCCTGGCTCCCTAACTGAGCCAGCATCATTATTGGGGTGGTTCTTTTCACTTCCTCTAGCTGAACTGTAAGATTACTCATTACATACTATTTTCTGATTTGTTTTATTTTTCATCCCTCTCTTTTCTGCAGGAAAGAGCAATTTATATTAGGATTGGAATTCACTTCAGGCTTTACTGCTATTTGTCACCACTCAGGAAACCCATCCCTAGCTCTAGGAGAACACTCAATCCCTGCTGACAGCCTGGAAGAGGAAGAGAAAATAGCAGAGCTGCAGCTATTAAGACCAACAGGCAAATATTTTATTCAAACTCAACTTTTTCTTCCCGAGTTACTTTTAAAGAATATTTTTCTGTTTGTGGGAATGTGAATGTGGGTTGTTTGTTTGTTTGTTTGTTTGTTTTCCTGGGGACTCTTCTATTCAGCCACTTCATCTTCTCCCACCTTTCAGACAGCAGAGCTTGCAGCAGTGACAAGATGTAATCCTAAGTAAAACTGCCTCTGCCTGTGGCCTTGGTTAACCTGCTGGCAGTGATACGTGCCTGGGCACGGGGCAACTGTTTTACACAGCTCAGCATGGACGTGCTGCCACTCCCAGTCACTTTTAGGACCCAGCTGAGTTGTTTACAGCAATCTCAAAAAAAGCTTGTAATAAAAATTGTTCTGCCTTCCTGAAGCCACCACTCCCAGAGACCTTTCCCCTTTCTTGTATACTGTGGGAGCCTCCTTCCTTTGGCTTCACACCTTTATCAGCTGAAAATGATCCAGTACAGAACTGGTTGTTGTCAGGCTCTCCCTTAGAAAGATGGGCTACACTGCCACTCTGTTGTGACTGTTGAGAACTGGAAGATCAGAGAGGAACGCAGGGAAGTGGAAGCCTGCACCCTCTTTTATGTGGAACAGAGTCAGGATATGCCCTTGTATAAAGTTCAGCAGAGGAAAACTTGGGCTACACTCGCATTCCTACATACCATGCCGTACCAGTCAGCCTGGTACTAATCTTCACGGACCTTTGAAGGCATGAAACAACATGCAGTGTAAATGAAATCTAAGCCACACCATACCAGATTATTGGTGCTAGCCAGTTTTAGAAGACTGACACAAGAGCCAAGTGAAACAGGTACAGTGGTAGGAGATGCCTTGTACCACCTGCAGGCACACAGACCCACAGCACTTGTGCAGCATCCGAGTCCAAAAGCAATGTGCAGCATGTAAAGAGCTGGGGAACCCAGGGCCACTTAGACTTGAATGCACTTTCCTGGGGAGGAAGTGGCTTTTCCCTTGGAAAGCTCAACTCCCCAGGGTCTGAATGAGGTCAATGGAAAAAGTGATTTCTTCAGAATATGATTCAGAGTGCCTAAGCATAGTCTTATCTTATTGACTACAGGCAAAGCTCAACCTCTGTAGATTTAAACTAGCTTTTGTGAATACCCATCCCCTCTTGCCCCTTAATTGTGGGAGTTACACTAGTCCTGGACATGGTTAGTTCTTGGTAGGCCCACTACCTACTGAAATTCAGGTGCTGCAAACCTCAGCTCGGAGAAGCACAGAATTTCCTGTTGGATCCTGCTTTGTCCTTTTGAATTACCCTGCGATGTCAGAAATGGCTTTGCAAGTACCAGAAGAACGAAGTCAAGAAAGGTTGATTTCTTTAGGGATGCCCTGATTGGAGCTGGAATAATCAGCATCTGTTTTAGTTTAACTGAGTTTTTCATTCTGGCCTTTCTCCCCTTTCAAAGGCAACTGAAGCCTTTAATTTGCTCTGTCTTTTCACTGCAGAGAAAAGTAGGAGTTTCTAACAGCCGATACTATCCTGTGTAGAATAGCTACACTAAAAAAATAGTTTATTGTCTGTTGTGAATGAAAAAGCTCTTGCTTTTTTGTTTGTTGTGTTGACTTTGAAAGATAAATTGTTTGAACTGGTTGACTCTCCATTTGTATAAATGAAGATTAGCTTCTTGATAGCCTGCTGGATTTGCAGTTTTCTCTTGAACTAAATAAACCGAAGAACTGCTGGCCCAGGGGCAGTTAGGACACAGTGCATACTGGAAGAAGTTTGTGTGCATACAAGTAAGAGAAAATAACTTCATGCATGGCATTTTGGATGTGCTGGTTTAGTGTTGATATGTCCTGTCGTTCCATCTGGAAGAGCTCCTGTAAGACCTAGGAAGCCTGCTTAAAAAATTGCTAATAGACATAGATAGGTGGCTAATGAGTTGAAAGTTGAAGTTGGCAGGACAAAAATTGTTTTTTACACAAAGTTCTACAACCCTAAATCATGCTGCTTGTTTTTGAGAACATAGGTACTCGGTCCTTTTATCATGCATTTGCTTTGTAGAAAAAAAATGGAGAAAAAAGCCAAAATAACTTCAAGTAAGCAGACCTGGCTCTGAACATATAAAAGGAACAGAGAGTAAAAATAGCAACATCTTACTGTACTGAGTCCTTCAACAGAGAACCACATTTTGAGGTTCTTCTTTGCATCCTCCTTTGTATTGCAAAGGCACCTTGCCCCAAGCAGAAACTTTTGCTCTGGGGAGGCAGTCTCTGTTTTCAGTGGGACAGAGCTTGGTGTCAGCCACTCGATTGCAGTATCAGCTTCTACACATTGACAAGGGCTCTGACTGTCCACGTGCATCCTCCAGGCATGGTTTCTGTGCCTTACTCTGTACCCTTCAGCTTCTGAGTTGTGCCAACTGGTCCAGCCTTCCCCGTCTTTGTATACTCATAATAAAGGCAGTGGAGCCAAAGTGACAATCAGGGGGAAGATAGAAAAGAATGACAAAGGCATACACTATTTTTGTGATGGGTATGATAGTCACAAAATGAAGTCGGCTTTGTTGTGCCATCAGCCTTCAAAACATGCTTCTCTCTCCCAGAATAGAGACCCATTACAAACTTTGGCTAAGAGAATGAAGCCAAACTTCTGATAAAGCAATTATTCAAAAGGAAAAGGGATAGGATAGGGCAGGAAGATCTGATAGACTGAGGTGTGGATGAAAAGATAAAAACCTAGGACAGGGAACTTGGAGATTTGAGATGGGATAGAGGGAAACTGAGATACACAAAGAAAGAGAAACAGGGAATTAGAGGAGTTTTATGCTGAGACTGGCTGGTAAGGAACTGGCAGAATTCAGTTTGCCAGTACAAGAAACAAGAAGGAAAAGTGAAGGAAGTCAGGGGGATAGGCGGTGACATGAAGAACCAGGTAAGAGACTGAACTAGGACCTGATGTAGGGAACCAAAGTTGGAGACCCTATTGGAAGTTAAGAAAGGAGAGGCAGCCTGGGGAAGGAACAAGCGATCCAACTCTGAAAGTGGAGGCCAGGCACAGGCAAAGGGGAAGGGAATGGAGTAGCAGGGAAGAGCTGTGGGAAGCAGCCCCGCACAGGGCAGAGCAGAGGGGTATGTGGGTGGAAAGGGGCCCAACGGGCTGTGCTCGCTGGGACATCCTGACTTGCAGAGCTGGAAGTGGAACAGAGCTTCCCTGAGGCTGGCCTTCATATTGGCTCAGCCAGCAAAGAATTTGCTTCTTGTGCTGTCTGCCCCAGCCTGTGGTACAGAAACTACTGGAGCCGAGTGTCCTTGGACACAGCGGCAGCTGCCTGCCTGGGGGAGGAGAGCAGGCTTTCTTGTAGTTACATGACAAAAATTTTACAGTTGGGAGGAGGTAGTGAAAAGGCCACATGACCAAGAGAGAAAGGGTCAATTCATTAGTCTGGCAGCCACTAAATTAAGAAAAGGCAAGTGGGACCATTATATCAGAGGTATCTGAATTCAGTCAAAGATGATTCTGAAGTTGCTAGATTGATCTTGTGGTCAGCTTAAGCAAGTTTAACTAATTAATTGCTTTATTTTAGCTCATTGTGTAAGAGCTAGCTCTTAGTAAATCACACTGCTTTGTAGAAATACGCTTGAAACAACTGTGTAAATACTGAATAGCCTTAGGAGTGGTCTTATGAATCCACTGAATAATCCAAATTCCAACAGTCATCCCCCTCTGCTGCTGATTTAGATGGAGGATAACAGTCCTGTGCTGCTGCTTCTCTTTGAGTAAAAGGGACAGAAGTCTGTGTTGGGCACACAAAGGTGTCAGCATGGCTGATGACCCACGGAGGTGCTGTGATGCTGCATGATCTTGCACTGACAGTTGTCCTTTTCAGGAACACAGGAAATGCTACTGGTATTACAGGAGCATTAGGAAGCTTGCAAAGCCAAGCCTTTAAAAGTTAGGCAACGTTCAAATGCAATTGACAGTGAAACCTTAATTCAGAACGTTAATTCATTTCAGTGTGGATGCCAGTAATTCAAGGTCCTTGCACAGTCCTGTGGGTTTTCTGGGGCAATGAAGACTGAGGAACCTCTGACTTGCTATCTGTGGAGTTATCTTAAGGAGAGGTACTCAGTCACAGTACCACATGGTTCAAAATGTCAGCACAGTCTCCTGACCCTGAGAGACCCCTAACTAATAATTCTAAGGGTTGTGACTCTTATACTTGCCTTCTGCACTGGGACCGGTCTGCACCAATGAGATCTGGGGACAAACAGAACTGATGGAGACCGGGAGTCTGAGAGCAGAGCTTTCCAGCATCCAGTAGGAGGGTATAAAATTAACTACTCCATTTGTGCAGATTAAAAACAAATCTTGTACGTATGAATTCTGCCTTTGCAAAAATGTCTGTTAGTTCTGATTGTTGGCACAAGTATTACCACAGTATTGGTCTAATCTCATTTGACATATTTAAGGGATTGCAGCAGAAGGGTGGAGTTACCAGTGTAAATTTCTTGGCTGATTCCTCATATAGTGACAATTGTCCTGCTCTGCTTTATATCAGCTTTTCAGTTTTATGTTTTGTTATGAAAAGAGCAAATCAGGGTTTTTGAGTATAAAGCAATATTTTTTTTAGATTTAAAATCATAATTTTGAAAGCAAAGATAGTAGAAACAGAAACAGAATCTCTGAAAGAACCAGAGTAACATGTATCCTTTGTAAATACTTCAGTGCTAAGGCAACTGGGCAGTGTCACTTTGCACACAAAGAGCCTGAGAAATGTAAAGGTACATGGTCAACAAAACATTCAGATCCTCCCTACGTCTGGTGAATACACACTACAATCTTTTATTACAGAAGAGTGTGTTCAAATAAGTCACACAAGAAACACTTATTTCAGATTCCAAGCTTTCAGGGCAAAGTGTGTATTTCCATGTCTTGTAGAGGATTTTGCGCCGTTGACACGAGTTTTACTGAGTAATAAAAACAAATAAACATCCAGTCATTGTAATAAATATCGTCACTAGGAAATTACACTTGGTTTCTGCCCTGTGACCCACTATGCCAAAAAGTCAATTCTGCTTTTAATGCTGTCTAGCATTTATTAGTAAAAACCCATGTAACCACATTGAACTGCCTGGTTTGCCAAAGACTCACACAAAGGAAATTGGCAGAACCCAAAAAATTGAATGTGGGTAGCCTTGTTTCACTGAAACCGCCCTAGATGGTTGCCAAAAGTTGTAAAAAACCTGATGGAAATAGAAAAATCTCAGATTTGACTATCTGATGTAGGAAATAGCTACCAAATGGTTTTGATTCAGCTGAGGTGGCTGCTGTTTGTTTCAAACGTGAGCCAGTGGGACCAGTCCAGACCAGCAAGTACTGAGATCAGTTAGTAGACTCCCACTAGCTTGAATGTGTTTTAGAAATTAGAAAGTTAAGATACTACTGCAGTGCAGAATCTGTCTAGGTTTGAAAGGGGAACTGATTGCAACCACCTGAGAATTTAGCATTAAAAAGCTAAACCTTTCTCAGCAAAATACCAAAAGATCTGTTATAACAAGTCGTCAAAGAACTTGCTTTTAAATCCATCCAAAATCAAAGGACGAGTGATCACAGATGCTCTGCCACACTTGAGTGTACTTGTCTACACAGAGGTATGGCTGTTACCTTCTGAATGGCTGTTGCCATTTCTTGCAGCTCCCACATATCCCTTGCAAGAGCAGTTTGGTTGTGATATCTCCTACAGACAAAACAGTCAGCACATTGCTCGGAGATCATAGTATTTGCCAACTGGGGATAGTCCTGATTTTGTCAAAAAAGGAAATGTGGAAATGTCACAGTCCCCTGGCCCATCTCTTTGGCAATGTCTCAGTACCTAAAGGTGACTTGCAGCAAGAGCGGGGTGGCTATGCCATGAACACAGCACTGAGGAGAGTGACTTCATACCAGGTCATTGTATCAGAATTTCTGATCCTGCCTGTGCTGGGGGCAAATTCTCCAGTTAAACTGTTGGAATGGCAGGAAAACACTTCCTGTTTGTTGTAATACTTTAATTCGAGTTGCAGTCAGTCACCGGCGGAGCTGTGGGGCTGACCTCCTCACCCGGGGGGATCTCGACAGCGGTGGCACCACGGTAGGTTCCACTGGGATGTGCGGAGCGCAGGGTCCCCGTCCAGGCTGCCCGGCGGGTGCGAGGCTTGCGGGACACGGGATCAGCGCAGAGACAGCGGGGAGCCCTGCTCGGGGAGCCGGGGGGACGCTGGAGCGGGCCCCGGGAGCGCGGCGGTGCAGCCCGCACAGCCCCGGTCCCGCACGGCCCCGGTCCCGCACGGCTCCGCTCCCGCCCCGCTCCCGCCGTCGCCAGGGGTAACGCGGCGCTTCCGCCGTAACCTGGAAGCGCTCGGTGTCCGCGGTCCCGCCCCGAGTGCCGCGGGAGGGCCGTGGGCGGGCGGTCCCGTGACGGCTCGGTGCGCACAGACGGTGGCCGGCAGGGCAGGGCCGGGCGGGCAGCGGGTGCCGAGCGCGCCGCGGGAGGATGGCGGAGCCGCACGGTGCGGGGCGGGGGCGGCGGGCGGGGGGCTCGGCGGGCAGCGGGCGGCGGGCGGGGGCGGCGGGAGGCCGCGGACACAAAGGCGGGGAGGGCCGGGGCGCAGGTGGGGCATTGGCGGGGTGTCCGTGCCCGCCCCCGCCCCGGCACGGCGAGGCCGGGGCAGGGGGGGCGGCTGATGGCCCCGCTGGCCCCGGCGGAGGGGCTGCCCCGCTCCCCCGCGCTGCCGGGCGATGGCATCGACCGCCACCACCACAACAACAACAGAAAAAAGAAAGGAGGAAGCTCCGTCTCAGAGCCTCACCTCTCCTCCTCCCCTCCGAGTCCCGGTACCGGGAGCTGGCAAAGAGACATTTAAGGGACTTGTCGTGTGTGTAGTGGCGGTGGCGCTCAGGGTAATGATTACCGGCGTTCGGGTAATGATTACAGCTGCCTCTGCCCGTGTCAGTGCGGTCCCCCACCCTCGCATAGGCGTGAGACTCTTTTCCTGTTTCAGCCGATGTATTTATTGTGGCAGTTCTGATGGAGCCAGAGAGACAGAATCTCGTTTCAAAAGTCGTCGCCTTCCTGTCTAGCCAGGTGATTTTCCCGGTATTTAAAACAGAGAGGTGTGACAGAGAAAAGCGGTGTGACAGCTTCCCGCGTGTATTTGTGGCTGGAGAAGGCGTTTTCACCGAGTTGTACGTATCTTTCTCTGGGGAATGCCTCAAAAGCTGTAGTAACCTTAGTAAGGTGAACGGCTCTGTGTGTTGACTAAAATTGCGACTGGGTGTGAGCTATATGAAAATTCAGCAGAACTGAAGTGTGGTGAAACTGGGTTGCTGCTTGACGTGTCCATCTTATTTAGGAGCAGGTATGCACGTGGAATAAAAAGTCACGATGTGTGAGAAAACAGTTACAAAGTACTGAAATAGTGCTGGTAATTTTTAAGTTGTGTATTTGAGATGGGACTGTGGAAGCATTCAGTTCTGCACATGTGCAGACACTTTTGAGGCAGAATATGCATGATCAAGAAGTTGTAATCGTGTGTATTGTCGCTGGTGCAGTACTTGATCGTGTTTTTTTGGACTATCAAAATAGAAATTAAGATGGTTTTAGTAATTACCTTCAGGGTCTTAATTTTCTACTGTTTCTTGTTTGCACATTTGACCTTATGTATTTCTTTTACCTTCTAAACTGTGTGTTTTTATTTTTAATCACTAGTCATTATGGTATACTTCTATTTATAAAATCAAGGGCTTGAAGTAGGTGGTGGTCAAATTAAGTCACACTTATTTACAGCCATATTTCAGGCATATGTTGTATGGTGATCTTGATATAATCCTAGCCTGGTTTTGGGAAAGATCTACTGTAGATTATGAATTTGTTATTACACTGCTGTGCATACATTTTAATTTTAGTAACACCCTTATCCTCTTAATTCCCATTGAATGATTTGGATTGACTATTTTGCTTTTCTGTGTAATTATTCTTTGCTCTGGATGAGTAAAACGGGAGATTATTGTACTAATTTGAAGCCAAATTCCTTTAATTTTAGGCTGTTTGTCAGCTGTTAGCATTTCTGTACGTGTGGCAAGGCAAAACATGTACATCAGGCAAAACTAATTTTATATGTAATCTTGTAATACAGAAACATGATTCCAGACAAAGCTCTCCTTTGTGTCCATCGCCTTCCTTTGAGGAATAGCGAGGGATCCTCAAAGAGGATGCTGTCTTCTTCCACGTCTCTCTATCTGCTCTTTCTAGAAATGTTAAACAACCCCTAGCATTTTTTTCTTAGGGGTGATGGCAAGGGTAGGGTCGATGAGCAGTGCTGATTGCGAATAGCTGCTCTTCCCGGTCTAGTTTTTCCTTTCCAGCGTAACAGATCTGTAAGGCAGGAGGTGCTGGGAGGGGCGTTCCTTTGTTATGTTGACACTTAAATCGCACTGACGGGTGTATTCTCCTCCAGGAATTCTGTGTGATTGAAGGAATTCCTTCAGACGAGGAATATTTTCTCCAACTGTCTTCCTGCACTGTTAGCCTATGTACAGAAATTAATTGCTTGGAAGATCACTGCTGTGCGCGTGCCTTTTAGGAAACCCTTGGATTGATTGTTACTTGGCTGTGGCTTTCTAGAAAAGAATATTTCTGCTGGAGCGGGGTGTGTGTGGCGGTCCCGTCTTGTCACCGCGGGAGTCGGCGGCTGCTGGCCTGTGTATGGCACCCGTGGAATAGGTGTTTGTATGTGCCCGTGTGTGCTAATTGAATTAGGGCTGTCAAAGTATCTTCTGCGTATTTGGAATGAGAAGAGTCACCTTTTGTGATCCCTTCTTGACAAGCCTGAGGAAGCCCAGTAAATAACAAAGCTCTCTTTTGGGAAGGTTTACTGTGATAATAAGGAAATAAATAAGGAAATAAAACTACGTTAAGAGGTCTCAGTGGTTCCAAAATACCATCGTGGAGAATTTGGGTGGGTGATAAGAAGGAGACGTTTCTCTTTAGCAGCAGGTTCTCCTTCTTGTCTGAAGAAAGATGAAAACTTGTGTGTGCAGGAGGGGAAGGCAGTGCCTGCCCCTTTCCATGGCCTGCTGCAGCCCCTGGGATGGCTCACTGCGATGCCCCCCTCGCCCCTGCCCTCCTCAGCACTGAATTTTGAGTGGCTCTGTGCTTTTCTGGGTGCAGGGTAGCTCCCGGCCCCCAGCCAGGAACGTGTACCCACATCCAGCCCGCTGTACCCTCCTGCTCAGCTTGGCTGGTGGCATTTCCCACCCAAAATGCTTCGAGGCTCATTGCTTTTGATTTCATCTTTCTGTGTGACAGCTTTGTGGATGCTCTTTTAATTGAAGCAACGCTTGCTTTCTGCTCTGCTGTCGTAATACCTTGTATTTATTTTTACTGCCTGCAACTGCATCTCAGAGGAGATATTTCTGTTTCTCCCTTTCTGGTGGGTTTGTGTGCATGTGAGAGGGCTGGGGAGGACGGGGTAGCGAAGATTGAACAGCCAGTTATAACTGATTGTACAGATAAAAAGAACCCTTGTTTACGTGAAAATTGTACTGGCTGACATAGTCTCCTCTGTTTGATACAGTAGTCTTGCTGTGTTACAAAATGGACTGGGATAAAATGTAACAGGTTGTTATAATAAGCAGGTAATGTTTGCAGTATTAGCCATTGCCCTTAATTTGCTTGTTTTTTGCTGCACTGCTTGGCCTTGACTGTGTTGTGAAATACACATCACGTACTATTAAATCTGGGAATTCTGCGACATCAAATTTGGTTCAGTAAAGGCATTTGCAGCATATCCAGGTCTCTGGATGAAAAGGGAGTATTAATTACTAAGAATTTTTCCATCATTAACCTCTAGATAATGTATATTTTGTACAGAAATTATGTACAGTCTTTAATCACTTTTTAAAAAGTGATTTTGTACCAAGTAGTAATTTTAGACTGTTTTAAGATTGTCGCAGCTTAAGAAGTACTTTATCTGTATTGCTCAGCAAGGGAAATACATTGGAGAACAGAGCCCATCATATAATTGTAGACAGTGAGGATATATTAAGAGGCTGTGAATTGGTGTAGATAAATACTAGGATGCACGGTCAAAGAACTTCTTAAAAGAGTCTGGCATGCCTGAATACTTGGTTCTTTTAGTATTGTTTTACCGTTAAGGGGTACACGTTAAAAAAACCAAAAAGACCCAAATACTTGAACCTATTTGTTTGTTTTTTGCTTTTTCTGCAAAAGCATAGCCTGTGTTCTCAAAGTGGATGTTCACTGGGTGCTAATTTCCACTCTTGCCTCAGTTTGTCTTACAACAGGTGCCGGAGAGTTGTTTTTTTTTTTTTTTTTGCCACAGGAGATTGTGTACCCCGTTTTCATTTATTCTTTTTTTTAGCCTAGTTGAAAGTTTGCTGCTCCTCTGTTGGTGGTGATGGGGTTTTGTAGAGAGGAGCTGTGCCTCAGCCCTATTGCTGTCCTGTGAAACATGTGACTGGTGCTCGCGTTAAATTGGCTGTAGCTTGCCCTTACCTTTGCTATGCTAATCCTCTATGTGCTCTTGTGTCTAAGAACGCTTCATATTCTAAGTATGAACACGATGTATGGTGTGATCCAGCAGGCAGTATTTCCATGGAGCCCAGTTGATCCCGTAGATATTGTATCCGGTTCAGTGGACCTGCCTACCCTGTGGTCGGAGGCTTTTTGTTATGCATGCATCCTAATTGTTCTTTCTGTTGCCGTTGTATGTAGACTGAAGGGGCTGTGCACCAATGCAAATAGCCTTTCTAATACCTTACCATTTGCATTATAATGGCTGCATAAATATTGCAGCACGTCTCAATTCACTCACTGCTTTGACTGCTCGGCTTTAAAATAGGTTCTTTCTGTAGCACAGATCTTGTTCGTGGTTGGTATTGCTTTGGAGAGGGGTTCTGAAGTGCATCTTTATTAAATAGTGAAGCCTGTTTGTGATGAGGTGCAATTTTAACTTAGCCATGTTCTAGTCTCCCACTCCTTTCAGCCCACAGGTTGATACATGCACTTGGAGGCAAAAAGAAATTCAAGCTTGAGCAGTTTTTTACCAACTATTTCTAAACTCGCTATATTTGGGGTTGCAAAACACGTTTGCTTGAGATTTGGTTTTGCATTAATTCCAGAAATCCTATGGATGTCTGTGAGAGTATTTCGTGCATAAGGAATGCGAAACATTGTGCCACCATTGTTTTGGTGCTGAAACGTTTGTTGACTTATGACTACACCAGAAGCACCCCAAATTTCC